TGGAAAATAAAAGAAAAGGGGAATAAAAAAATCTAGAGTCCAGACCAAAATAAAAGGACATATACCTTGGTCATCAAATAATGACATTAGAATTGCAAGACAAGTGCATATACTGATGTCCTCCCCTGTGCAGTAATAAACAAGCGATCTCTCTCAATCAGTAAAACGACTGAAGAATGCTGACTACGTCAATCCTCAAAAACACATTCGAGTAATGATCTTTCATGCATACAACATATGATATTGAATGAATTAATATCTATAAGAAATTGAAAGTAGTTCTTTATCCTTCAAAAACATTCTTACCATTCTGACAACAAATGAGAAGAGTCTTCCCTTTGCTAAGATTCGACCTTGCCAAGTTTACAGCAGTCTGAAGATTGCTTAATACAGAGAACCGATCATGTTTTGAGTTCTGGACACCAAAAGTAAGGTTTTAGAGAAGCATTGGTGGACTGGTCGACTACTAAATCCATGACACTAAAAGTTAAATCTCTCTTAATCTATTGCTATAGTAGATGAGCAAGATGTATCTTCGTATTAATTACACCTCATAAGTGTTCTTCAGCTTTCATTTGTACGCACCAGCATTGGAAGATGGAGATATGCCTCAGTACTTTGTAAAGAGACAGAAATAAACTCCTGAGAACAATTCAACACACAATCAACACCAGATGCTTCTGCAGCTGCACCAAAAGAAAAATCGAGGCAGAACAGTGAGCTAGAAGAAAAAAGCAGGACAAAAAGTGGTGCGGGTAATGTTAATAGAAAAAGCACTATTATGACCATCTATATAGAGAATGACCCCTTTTCACTTTTTAAAAATTGAAGGCAGTAACCTACTTTACTTGAAGAGAGATATGAAAAGACACCATGCTGTTCCTATGTGTCAAGGCAATGATAAAGTATAGTGCTACAATTGGAAGAACTCCCCACCCTCAAACTTCAAAATTCCCACTTCCAGGATCAAGGAAAAAGAATCAGAAATCCTGTGTGTAATGGGCAATGACAAAACAGTTAATAGCCCAATTTGGAGTAAGTGAGTATTTCTAGATCCAAGACGTGGAAAAAGAGGAAGAGTCTCAACTCAATTTTGGCATGTGAAGACTACTGAGAGGGCTGCATGTCTATCACTTGACCAAACAAATAAAGTTAATCGATTAATGGAGAAACACAAAAATACATACAGAATTGCGTTGAGCCCACAGCAAGATTTGTCAAACCCAGCCAAGTTATGGGGCAATTTTCATGGGAAGGCTTAGGATCAACTTCAGCATTAGCCATCTCTGAAGCTAGGGGTAATTCGTCACAAGAAAGATTGCATGCACTCCCAGGCAATTTTGGACCCTTGACTTTGACCTGAGGGACAGTATGTCCCCTATGAGCTAGGTAAACTCTATGCTTCTCTACTATATCAGCTACCTTCCGATTGCATAAATCAGGACCGCTTTCCATGATATCGTATACATTTTTCCAGAAAAGAGATGGTGATAAACCCCTTGCCCAGCTTTCCTCATCATCTCCAGCCCCTGCTATGTAGTTCCAGCTGAACTCTGAAGTAGTCTTATGTTGAACAGTTCCACTTGAGCAAGAAGCAGAAACAAGTATGATTGGTGTAAAATCCCAAGAATCGTGATCAGGCACTTCATTCAACCAAATGACAGTTCTCTGTGAAATCCATAATGGACGCAGGGGCTTCTTCAAGCATGAGGCAATTGAACAAATATCAGCCCCACTGGCTTCCAACTGATGAGTCCAACTTTCCAAGTGATTCTCTATAGTTGCCCGTTCTGTCTCAGAAACCCACAATGGAAGATGCAAGGAACAATCCCAATCCAGTGGAGCCTGTCCTTCACTACTTTCATGTTGATTAGTTTTATCTCCACCCTGCATGGGTGCAAATTTTAGATGGTTTACTTATAGGAAATATGCTCATCAGCATTTCCAATAGATTAAAGCAAAAGCACACTTTTATAAGATAGTAACACAAGGGAAAGCATACACTACAAAGCTAGTAGTGAAAACAAACTTTGCAGTTCTTGCTGAACCTAAGGTTGCCCGAGTAAGCACTAACAGAGAAGAAGTTCCATAATAAACTAATCATAGTTTCCTCCAACTGACCATGTTATGAAATACACTGGCAGAACACAAACAATACCAATAGGAAAAATCTGTAGCAAGAGGCAGAAACAATGCTACAGATTGATCTGAAGCTCAAAACTACCAAGACTAGCACTCATACTCACTTACCCCTTTTGAAATTAGGCCATCACTGCCCATTTTCCTCCTGTAATTGACGATAGCTCTATTCATGACGCACGTCCAAATGGGTATCGTCTTCGACATGCTGTCGGGAAACCTCTTCCCTTTCCGAGTTGAATCGACGATGATACAACCTCCTTTCTGTCCTACCCATCACACAACAGACAGACAGAAAACCAGAATCAAAACGGTATCGCCAACAAGGAAGCATAAACAAAACTCGTACGATGAAGATCAAAGAAAACCCATGGGCCACCCAAGTACAAGAATGGTAAAACCAAACTTGATACTCAAGCTACATGACTTCTTACTTTTCACTCGGCAAGACTTGAACTTTCGAGCCCCTTGATCAACCCAAGAGAACAAAAAGCGATGGGCTCGATCAATCTCAGTCAACCAACAACTGTAAAAACTACCGTCTCAAATATAATTAAAACCACGGTCAAATTCTCCGAGAGAGAGAGAGAGAGTATTACCGGCGAGGAGGGCGACGTGGAGGTTGAGCCGGGAAGTGTTGAAGGACAGGTTGTTGGTGTGGCCGTCGGTGGACTTGAAGTAGCAGGCGGCGTGGAAGGCGGCGGAGTACCAGAGGCCGCACCGGAGGTTGGCGACCAGGGGGAGGGCCGGCCAGAGCTGGGCGATCTCGGCGACGAAGATGGAGTCCTCGTAGATGGACCTCAGGGCGTTGTAGAGGCTGTTGTCCCTCCGCTTGATGATCCTCGCCGCGCTGTATATGCTCAGCTTCCTCAGCTGCCTCGCGACGTCGCCGTCGTCCTCCATCTCCGGCGGCGGCGGCGGCGGTGGCGTAGGATTGCGCCAGGTTTTCGGACAGGGAGAAGGGCGGCGATTGCTTATCAGGCTGAGCTGCCTACGCCTTCTGAAGGCCGTGCCGGCCCACGTGCGTGCCAGGCCCGGACACGTTTTTTTTTTTTAAATTATTATTTTATTTTATTTTCTCAACTTTTAAAATCCAAAAAAACAAACTTTTAAAATCCAAACAATTAAGCAAAATAATGGGAATTCCAATCTGATTTACACCTAATTCATTAAAATTTTGCAACGAGACTCGCACAAAATCAACGCACGATAAGATTTCCAAATATCAAAAACAAACTAGGAATACACGATATATAAAGTATGTATGTTTACTAATAAAATACGAGAGTGAAGGAATCGAAATGCCACTACTAGTCTAAAGGTATTGACTCGTCAACTGGAAAGCGGGTTGGATAGCGGTTGAGGTGCATTGCACCACCGAAATAGCGAGGGAATCGTATATTTGTTTGAAAGTTGGACTTTTGCTAGCTTAGGAGAGGGTGAGAATTTGTGAGAGGAGGATGAAGGCGAAAATGATAGAGAAAAACTTATAATGTATAGGAGATTTTTCGATTGCTTTTTTTTTTTTATTCACAAAATTTAGGAACTCACCCTTTAACTTCTATTTAACGCGAAATATTTGATTCGTTTTTTAATATAAAAAATATCGACGGGTGCGATCTCATATAATTTTTTCATAATTTTCCAATAATCAAATATTATGTCTCTGTTTTTTAGATTTTGAAGAGATATTTAATATGTAGAAAGAAGTCCGATGTAGCTGGAATGCAAATGGGCTTGACAGCTGAATAAATAATGCTCTCAATGGAATGCCAGAGCTAAAGGAAATGGAATGAGAACCGGAATCAAAGTTAATGCTTTTTTATTCCTTTGGTTGTAGCCTTGGAGGTAAGGACATATGGAATAGGAATCAACATTGTTGTTTATATCTTTTGATTGTAGGAAAGGAAACACTTTTAGGTGGGACTTTGAGGATGAAGATAACTTTTGAAGGCCAAAAGTCTACAGGATTTCTCGGGAAATTTTCTTTCGAGTCCGGCCGATACATGTTTTGTATTTACGTTTGTCCAATCGTGTAACAGTTAACAAACTACAGATACGATATCGTCAGCCAAACACAGCCTAGCGTCACAAAATAAGTCCAATCTGATTATAGCCCTTCTTGGACTGGGTCGTGATAGGTAGGGTTGTGCAACCGGATCGGACTGCCCTGAAAATTAGTCCGGTTCTAGGTTCTCGTCGGAACCAATCCAATTCTTGGTTTCAAAATTTTGGAACTAGTGGGGACCAGTTTGATTCGCGATTCCAAGTGAAGAACCACCCAGGAACCGGACCGATTTGACTGATTTTGGAACTGGTTTCGAAAAGCTTAAAAATTTTAATTTCTCTCTTGACATCTTTTTCTCTATCTCTCTTTTTCAATTCTCTCCAAAACTCCTACCTCACTCAAACACTTCACGACTTTCTCTCTCACAACTCACCCTCCTCCTCCTTGCTCGGTTGCAGCTCGTCGTCATTTGTTCGAGCCTCGCAACCCTTGCTCGTTCTCGAGGTTTTTGGACCTTTTATCATTTATAATTGTATGTGACTACATGTTTATTTTATGGATTGTTACTTTTGGCGGATAAGGGATTTTTGTTGTTTATCTTTTACTTTGAACTATTTTGTTGCTCATATTACTTTATTTTAAAAAATGAAACAAAAAAAGGAACAAAAAAAAAGCATCTTCTCGGATAGACCCTACTAGAAAAACAGGATAGGTTCCAGAATCGATTACAAGGCAAACAATGTAGGTTCCAAGTTCCAAAAACTGAAAACCGGTTATAACAGGGTAGGTTTCAAGTTTCAAATTTGGAACCTATCCACCTTGGAATCAATCGCCCCTAGTGGTAGCCTCGCTGGGCTCAACAATCATCCGCGCACGAATTGTTAGCGTGGGGATATAATATCATGACTAGTTCATTAATACAACTTTTTCAACAAATCCTGGGACCAGTCAATCTGTTCAGTGACTAGTTACACTTCTTAAAGCTTGGAAGACTTGGCACTCTTGACCTTAGCGACATTTCTCAGCACTCCAGATGAGACCGATGATGCCGGGTTGATGGTCTTTCTGATCTTGAAGATGTTCCAAGCAGTACTAGCGCAGTGGCCTGCAGTCGCCAGCGCATCTTCTGTCGCCTCTCCCGCGCTCTCTCCAAATCTGTTGTCATCAAGAAATGGCAGTCTCTCAAATTCTGAATATTTTTGACGGACAATCTTCAAGAAAACATTGTGCTATGGTTATGAGCCAAATTGGGCATCTCGCAATAGGCCTAAAAAGTGAGAAAAATATTTCGATTTGGCTTAATTGAGCTCGTGATCATTAAGGAACCTTAACAAGCTCAATGGAAAAAATCCAAGTAAAACCCAAAAAGAAGCCAAAAGAACGAAGGATCTGAAGAAAATCTGCTAACAGGTACAACCCTGGCCCGTATCTGTTATAAATTTAAGCTTTCGGGGACAATGTGGATTTGAACAATCAAAGGCAATACGATGAATGGGCGAAGGGATGAGGATAGAGTCAATTTGAAGCTTCATGAAAATGTTTTTACCTCTGGCTGACCATTCGTGTAGCTGCTTTGGAGGTTGCAGAGAATGCTTGCTTTTCAGCAGCTTCGGCTGCATCTAGAACTTTGTCTGTAATTGATCGACAAAATGGAGAATGTAATCAGTTATCATAGTGACACACCATCGATTTTTGCTGGAACATGCACTTCCATTTTACTCGGTACTGTGGATAAATGATACTCACTGACGGCATCGAGTGAAGCTAATAGGACTTCTCCTGGAACCATTGCCAGAAATGCCTTCCCGGCTTGGGACTTAACTACCGGCGCCATCACTGAGCCAGTGGCAAATTGAACCCCATCAAGCATTGTTTTGCTCATCTTCTCCGTCATCTTGGACACCTTTCTCACGCTTCCAAGGAAAAAAGGGTGGGGAGCGAAAAGAAAGATGAGAAGCTTATGACGGAAGGAATATGTCTTTTGCTCGTTATATATAAATGGACTTCTTATGAATGAATGTACTGATGATCATAGCTTTCGGGTTAAACATACCGTTTCAAGTTTCTGTTGATTGCGCTTTTCTTTTTGGTGGTCGTACTTCCGTTGGTAGTGTACTCTGGATAGGTGATGTTACTATTCTCCGCCGCACGGGTGATAATCATCTCGCCTCCCTGATGAACCTGGTTTTTTACCATAATCTCTTAGATCACCATAAATAGAAGTAAAACAAATCATGCTTTGGCAATGAAAGTAATAATTTGAAGCCAAATGGAACAAAAGAAAGCACTGTGTTAACCAAAGATAGATAGCCAAAAGATTACAAGAATTTGACCCAATTATAACGAAGTTGTTGAGAACGAAGTGGTCAAACTCATAATCAAAGTTCGAGGGCAAGAACCTCATTTGATAGCAGTCCTGATGCATGACCAAATGGTATTGTTTCCATACATTGAGGTGACAACTGACAATGATTTTTGGTTTCAACCTTGCAGAATACAATGTATGTGCTGCTAGATACTTAAGTCCTGCTCATGCCAGTCTTGCTGAACCTAAAGTTCTGCAGAAGCTAACATATATGTTCTTGATCATTGGTTTAAACTATGACAAAACCAAAATCCTCATAGTATGTAAATCAGTAGTACTAAACTATCCCCAGTGATTGCAGAGGAATTTAGCTTCAACCAATCTAAAAGAAGAGCGGGTTAAGGCCAACCTGGTTAGTGTAAGCATTACTGCATTTGAATATCCCTTTAACAATCTGACCGGTGCCTCCTGCAATTGCCCTGGCCAACACATTGTTATAATCCCCAACCTTAGGAGCGAACTCCTTCCAATTAATGTTCTTGTTCCGCGAGGAAGTCGTGGAAGCAGAGAAGCAAGAATGCTCCTGAAGAAACGCGTCGAGTGAGCTCAAACCGCCACCGTACGTCTCCGCGAAAGTCACTCCGTAGCTCAGAGGGTCACCATCTTTCACAGGCAAAGTGAACAAGTAGTGCAGAGGGTCCAGCTTCACCACGGGCTCGTCCTTGGTGAGAGGCCACTGAAGATCATCCCCGACTTTCACTATCGTGGCGAGCGGGACGTTCTCGTCCGAGATCCGGAGGAGCGTGAACTCGCCGCTCGGAAGGAGCTCCAGGGCCTCCCCTTCTTCCATCAAGTGGACTGTGCATGATGGGATTGTGAGGAGGGCTTCTTGCCTCAGGGCTCTGGCTTGTGGCTGTGGATATGGGTGCTCTCGGTTTGACGAAAGAGCAGGTTCAGACGATGAAGATGTTCTCATGGAAGCTTTGGAGGTTCCACACCTGAAGCAGCCCATCTCTGGTGTTTTCTTGGTTGCTTTGTTTTGAAGAGGAAGGAAGAAGAAGAAGAAGAAGAAGAATATAGGTATTGTTCGGGGACATGAAAGAAGATGGAGATGGGAAATGAAGTTGAAAGGGAATGGTGTACAGAGGAAGTTGTGCTGTGATCGATTCCGCAGCTTTAGTTAGCTTTATTCCGTCCCTGTTGGGCGATTTTTAAGTTGAAAAGATGACATGACCTGCCTTTCGGTGGAAGTAAATAAATAAGAGCATGACAAATCGGTTTGGTCTATTGGAAAACAAAAAATTATTCAAAAATTCACTTCACCTTTCATGGTTGACGTGATGAATAAAGTTAATCATAACTGAGATAAATGAAACAAAATTCGACGAGAAAAATATTGCACGTTAATGTTGAGGTTCGTGTAATTTCTCCATGTGTTAAGATAATGTTGGCAATGGTAGCATTTCGCGAATTTGAGAAAGAGGACACATTTACAGAGGCAGTGGGAAACAGAAATCTGCTTTCCAGCTTAAATTTTGCGAAGGACAAGGAAGACGCTAGCTTTTTCGGGGCTTGAACTTTCCACGCTTAGCATGAAAAGAGATGCCATCCTTGTTCGATTGTCTGCACAAGACACGCCATTGTCAATCCACCTGAATTTTTTAACAAAGCTCTTCTGTGGTGATTTTCTCTTCCGGGCAGTTGCGAGCGCCCGCTTAGGCGACATCTTTACGTGGTTTATCCACCTGGTGGAATCGACCGTAGTTGATGACCGCGATGAGAAGGCCCTAGATCACACCACCCTCGAATTTGATTCACGGGATGGAGTACGCATAAATCTGTCGACGACTCGGACAATTTCACCTTATCTGGGATATTGAAACAGTCCCAAAGCTCAAGATCTATACCCGTTCGAGTTGATTGATCATAAAACAAATACTCTTTGAGAGAAAAAAAAAAAAAAAACCATGCGTCTACGTATGCCTCAATAGACTTAAGCAAGTCTTTAAAAGGCTTCATCTCAATTCTCGCCCGGATCTCGAAATCACCGAGATATAAAACTTCCGGAGGATATTCCCTCTTTGTGGAAAAGACAGAGATACAGGGAAAGTTAAGGGTACAAGGAGTGCCAAACGTTATCATCTGTGAACATGACTGCGAAAACTGCAAAGGCCGTTCTGTGTTCTGTTCATGGATTCGTCCTCTCTTTTCAAGTAATTAGCGTAACAAGGCGTAGTCCCCATCACTGAATTTGCATTATAGTACCCGAAAATATAGCAATAATCCCAAATTAATTCCGATTGCTAGTTTACTGCAGCATTAGGGACATGGAATCCAGCAACCGGGACAAAATTGTAACCTGCTTGACAAAATGTGCATGTTCTCTTTAGGAAAAGAACAGAACGAATCTGGAATTCATTTCCCCGATAAAAAGACAACATATCAACTGCCAAAAACAACGAACAGCTCGAGAGAGGTTGCAGAGGAAACTCTCCATCACCTTATTGAGTAACACAACCTACGAAAGGACCCAATAACTTACTTCCTGGAACATGCACTGCAGAAAAGTTGCATGAGGAAGCTCGGGCAGGAGGGAAGAAAAGCATCACATACTTTCTTCAACTTCATCAGGGAAAAAACTGGAATTTCCGTCAAGCTTTGACATCAGCTGATTGCATAACTTATCAAACGGGAGGGGTTAAAACTTAAGAATTTGGCTCAACCTCAAATTCCATAAGAATCAAGCAACTAAGTAAAATTAAGTAAGGGTATGTATCGAAAATACACAAACAAGATCTCACATTCTTCCACTGCTAAAACATAAGCAAATCTGCATCTATAGCTCACCCGTATCACTTTTCTGCTGAGTTTGTAGATGCAACAGTTTGTCTACAGAAATCTCACATTTGAAAAAGGAGCAAAAAGTAAAACCTTTTGTAAATCGACTGCATTACCCTCACTCTCCAACATATGGCCAAAATCTGGCAACTTCATTTAAGAATGCAAGATGCTTCTATGTAGTCTTTCTTGCCATTACCTCCATCCAAATGATTACCAAAACCCCAATTCCAGAAGACATGCCTTCTCAAAAGAAAAGAAAATCCCAAGAAAATGCCTAAAGGGAAAGGAGGCCCATAGAGCCAATGCAGGAGAGGAAGGGTGACCAGCTGACATGGATTCTCTAGCTTATACACATATAAGCAATTTTACACTTGAAAAACGAACTTGAACTCGCTTGCCATGCAATTCTATCAACCAGTCAATTCATTGGCTACACAAGGTTCCTTACTGTAATTGGCGCCTATCAGGTGATGGAGAAGCACACCAGCTGCAACACTGACGTTTAAGCTCTCAACAGCCAAAAAGGACCGGAACTCCTCGGCCGAGTCATTTGTTTCCATGCCCTCTTCCGCATTATTGGCTTCTCCGGCAGTTACGTCTGAAGAGATGTTTCCTGGGATCCTGATCAACTGAGTACACGATCTCTCCACCAAAGGCCTCAGTCCAGTGCCCTCACTCCCAAGAACAAGAATGGTGGGTACACCAGGTGAAATGTCATTCAGAGGGACAGATTTAGAAGAAACCGATCCTCCAAGGACTCTCCAACCATTTTCTGCTGAGGATGTGAGGAATTGCATCATGTTCTTGCAATATCTGAGCTCCATCAACTCCAGAGAACCAGCACTTGCTTTGCTAACCACACCACTTAATGGAGCTGAATTTTTGGCACACAAGACCACCCCTGAAGCTCCAAAGAAATAGGCAGACCTAATGATTGCCCCCAAGTTCTGAGGATCTGTGACCTCATCCAAAGCTACCCACAGAGAACCCTCATCCTCAAGGGATACAGGATCAAGTTCCATTACCTTAACCATTTCTAATGGAGAAGCATCTAAAACTAGACCCTGGTGAGGACGGTTGTCAACAACCATGTTGAGATCGTGCTTCGATGCTTCCTTAATGCTTAGCCCAATCTTCCCCGCCATTCTCAAGACTTTCTCGAATCCCTTCTTATCCTTCTTCTTTCTGTTGTTACTACTCAAATCCAGCCCTTCTTGGACATACAATGTGTAAAATTCTCGCCTTCCTGCTGACAGTGCTGCCAACACTGGACCGACGCCATAGACGCCTTCACTGACTAGCTTTGGCAGACTCGATTCACTTGCTTCATTCCACATCTTTCTTCCCCAATCTTCCTGCTTATTCCACCTTGTGAGTCTCGGATTCTCTGTCCGTGGTTTCACATCCACTACTCCTCTCACTTGCGTCTTAATTGCATCCCACCTAGGATCTTCAATTGTCTCTGCCTCTTCAACTTCATCTTCTACATCTTCTCCATCCTCTAACTTACCAAAATCATCACGCCTCCACGTGTGATCAGTATGTTTATCGACCAATAAATCAGTCCCCGCTATCTTATCCGCCCTATTCATCCTGAATGAACGTTGCTCCCCATCAAACTGTTTGGTTGATTGTACCCAAGAAGAACCACTACTCTCTGCTGCCTTCTGCAACTTTCTTGCCGATTCTTCCCAAGAAGAATGACTAGTCTGTTCCCCAACCACTTCCTTGGTTTTCTTTGATGCTAACCAGGGCATGGCTTTCCCAGCTCTTGTTGCACGACTCGCGTCACCGACCCTCCGAGAGTTCGAAATAGCTGGTCTCTTATGCAACTTTCTCGTGGATTCTCCCGAAGAACGACCAGCCCGTCTGTTATACACTTTCACAGACCTTTCCACTTCCACGGTCTCCTTTGTTGCCAACCAGGGAAGCACTTTCCCAGCTCCTATCGCACCACTCCCATCCCCGACCCTTGGAGAGTCCACACTCGAAAAGTTTCTGCCTTCTCTCAAAGAACAACATCGAATGGAACTCTCCACTCTCGACCCACTCAACACACTCTTTGGTCCGGCAAACCCAGCTGCAGATCCACCGTTCCTCTTCGAAAAGCCAGATTTCTCATGGGATCCCCGACTAAACCCAACAGAGACACCACCGATGCGTGTGGAAATGGCGTTCTGGCGAGGTTTTGGGAGGGACCCAGAACCCCAAAAGTTTCGGGGACTCGACGGGCGACACTGACTGAAGCACGTCCGTCTCAGGCAAACTCTGACGGTGAAAGAAAATGCCGGGCACTTGGCAAAACCAGTGTTCATCGTATGCCCAGGAGCACCAAGAACACGAACCTCAAAATTTGCACGGTGAGCAGGAGGAACTGAACCTGCGAATCGTTTTGTTCAGCGATTGCTCGCCGTCTCCAATGTCATCACCAGGCGCGGCGACGAGGTTCGAGCGATCAGCGAGCCGTGTTCTGGGTCCTATCCTATCGTGCCGTTCCGTTCCGTTCCACCGCGAGCGCTAGCTATAAGCTGCTGCGATATGCGAGATTCGATTTGCAGGAGCGAGGTCTGCCGAAACGACGCCGCGAGGTCGGAAAAATCCTGATGGAGTTACGGCGTTGCACGCGCACGTGCAAATGGGGGGAAAGGCGCGTGGAAGGGGACCGACATGGACCCATGTTGCCGAAAACACCCTCCAGAGTGAAGGTTAATTACCGAAGATATCTTGGGAACATATAATATAGGAATAAATATACCGTAAATAGAAGGACTTGATTATATCAATTCGATAAATTTCAGAACTCGATTATATCAATTTGACAAATTTTTAAAACTTGATTGCACCAATTAGATAAATTTCAGAACTTGATTGCACTTTTCGAAAATTTTAGAACTCAATTACACCATAATGACAAGTTTTAGAGCTTTCAGCGCGATCGTACTTCGACGATCTTCCCTTAACTCGGAAAACATCCGAAAACCTTTACGATGTACCGATATTGCACTTGGATTCGCATGTTTGATTTCCGTAGGGCTTTCGAAATCCGGATAAACAGGTTTTACACGTTCCGAAAACTAATTTCCTAACGTCGTGGAGCGGAGGGTCAGATCCGTAGTTTCCTCGAGTGGCGAAGGGCTTTTCCGTCCGTCACAAAAAAAAAAAGGAAGGGGAGGATCGGTGGTGTACTGTACACGCAAAACTTAAGAAGAAAAGTTGAACCCTTCCTCGCTCCTCTCTCTCTCTTCGATAAGCTCGGCTGGCGAGAAGCCCACCCTCCCTTCCTCTCGCCACAAAACTGAGCAAACCCTAGAAGCCCCTCTCTCTCTCTCTCTCTCTCCTCTTTCTCTCTCTAGAACCAGGTGGTGCAGCATCATCGTCGCCGCCGCCGCCCATGGGGACGCCGGAGACCTCGCGGGAGCCCTGCCCCGACCGCATCCTCGACGACATCGGCGGCGCCTTCGGCATGGGCGCCGTGGGGGGCTCCGCCTTCCACTTCATCAAGGGCCTCTACAACTCCCCCGCCGGCGCCCGCGTCCTCGGCGGTACCCAGGCCGTCCGCATGAACGCCCCCCGCGTCGGCGGCAGCTTCGCCGTCTGGGGCGGCCTCTTCTCCGCCTTCGACTGCACCATGGTCTACGCCCGCCAGAAGGAGGACCCCTGGAACTCCATCATCGCCGGCGCCGCCACCGGCGGGTTCCTCCAGATGCGCCAGGGCGCCGCCGCCTCCGCCCGCTCCGCCGTCTTCGGCGGCGTCCTCCTGGCCCTCATCGAAGGCGCCGGGATCATGATCAACAAGCTCCTCAGCGCGCCCCCCGGCCCCCCCATCATCATCGACGAGCCCGTCCCGGGCATGGTCGGGATGCCGGGGCAGCTGCCCGGGCAGATCCCCGCGCAGATGGCGTCCACCGGTGATGGAGCGTCTACCTCGGGATCGGATTCGGGCTCTTGGCTCGGAGGGTGGTTCGGAGGGAACAAGCATGAGACTGCGGCAAGCAGCGGCGGCGGCGGAGCGAAGACGGAGATTTTGGAGAGTTACGATACCCCGATGCCTTCATTTGAGTACAAGTAAACATTTTAGGTTCCATAAAAATTGAAGCTTAAGTTTTTAATTAGACGTTGTCAGGAGGGATGATCGTAAGATGGGGCTTCCGAGGGCTCTGGTTTGAACGATGTATTGAAGGTGATATGTGTGGTTCTTATTTCCATTTCGCAATGAAATTTCGATGTCTTGGGCATCACTGTAATATAATGCGATGGCAATTTTGTCTGGATTTTGCTTGCAAGACGGGCTAAATTAGTTTAGGGCTAATAAACATTAATTGGTCAGACTGATTCGTTTCTATGTTCGAGAGCTGTCCATGAGTGGAAACTGACAAGTAGATTATGTGATATGAGCTTATTTGTTTGTGAACTCGATTTTACTTGAGCCCACGCATTGGCGATTATTCATAATGGTCTTCTTATGGTAAAAGCTATTGTGTGTGTATATATATATATATATCATGATGGGCGAAAGTACATCTAGCTCTTTGGCTTGAATTTGTCTATATGACTCGATTGGCATCCCGAGCTTGTGATGGTTTTTGTTTTCACTCTGTACTTATGGAAGAAAGTTTCTTTGCTGCGCTAAATGACATTGCCTGTGACTTCTGGCATTTGACCGCTTCTTCGGCCAAGGCAAGCGGTGGTAAGTTCTATTGGCACCCATAAGAATGTGATGTATGAAGTATGGCGTTCCTCCTGTCCTTCTAGACACCTGTGTGCAAGGAGTTACTTGCTTGTGGTAGTATGCTAACATGGGCACTGGGTTAAATCTGTTCTAGATCTTGGCGGCATAGCAAAATGGTCAACTGACAGGCACATGTCATTGATTTCCTTTATTTAATCGCGGAACATGCTGCTGATATAAAGCTATGGAGTTCCTGTTTTGTTGTTGCTTCTAGTAACTATTTTATATTCCTTACCAAGTGTGGTGCAAAATACATTTCAGATTTTAATTTTTTGATTTTGCTCGAGATGCAGCCATTGCAGCTAGTCCTTTTAGTGATTGGGGTCCAATAGCTTATTAATTCAATTGTGCTCACTCATTCCTTTGATCCGCCTTTTGATTGGGGGAAAGGTTGATTTAAGGAGTTAATGCACTAAGTCACTTGTGTTGTGTGAGTCAAGCAGGCTAAAAGGATGAATTTAGAACTTCACACAGTTATCTGGTTTCAGCCTTGATGGGATTTTCATATTTGGTAAGTTAATATTTTTCTTTTGCTGTGTTCTTCTTTTTGATGTTCACCTATGATGGTGCCTCCACTTGATTGGGGGAAAATATTGATTTAGGAAGGAGTTAATACAAACATAAGTCCAGCAGGCTAATCACCTATATTATGGATGAATACCCCCCTACTTTACTTTTCTTTTCTTGCTGTCTGGATATGGTGATGCTACTGATTGGCACACATCTGAGTGCGTTCTTACTGGTTTAATGATGTCCCGATAGAACGAGCTGAAGCCATGTGCTATATGATTATCTTCTAAGGTTCTGCTGGTCTTGCTTCAGCATGTCTTGAGTAATCTAGCTGTTGCTTCTCTTATTGCGGGAGTAATTTAATATTCTCATACCTTGAGTTTTAATTCATGAAGTTTGTCTTTGGTTTGTTCTAGTCATTTCATGTCTGGCTGGTTAAGCCTTGGAGTATTATTTTTCTCTGTTACTGGGTTTACTTACAGTGAATTGTACTGATCTGGAACATAGTTTTTTCGTCTTTGTTAATGCTTGGGTTGTCTTAACAATTGCCACTCTTGTCCGCAATCGTCGACCATAGTCTGGAAACTACGTGTCAAAAGATACTAGAAATCTGATCACCATTTTGAATGGCTTCTCAGCTCAATAGTAGTTGTTTTTCGCAGGTAGAAATTTTCAGTAGTTAGAGATCATTCAATTTGCACTGCTCTTGCTCAATGTACTCAGCTCGCGATTATTTTGGATCTTTAGCAAGCCGGGTCATTCCAGCTCTGTATTTGAGTGTTTTATCAGGTGTATAAAGTTCTGGTTGTATTATTTCGTGCTTTCTATTAGTGTTCGAAGTGGAACAATCTATGTCCTCTGGATGGCTGGAAAAAATCAACCAAGAACGTGGAAAAACAATTGAGGAGGATTGCGAAAAATCAGAGTTATGTCTGGCAAAAATCCAACATCAGGAAGTCTCATTTGTGCAAATTATGACCTTACATCAGAAGTGAAAAAAATGAGAAACTAAAACTATGGTCTGTGTATCGTTGTCGTGTTCAATTTTGGTGTCAGGGTCATATTTCGCGACTGTCGTACTTGAGCTAATCTCTCATGGCAATTTCAGGTCAAATTTCTTGCTTTTATCCCAATGCAGATGGAACCGGAGATTATATACATGGCCAAGTTCAAACTAAAACGAGTTAGGTTAACTTAATTCGCATATTCTTGTACCGAAGCTCGATCTAATATCACAAGTATTAAAAGTCTTTGTCAAGTACTTGATAAAGCTCTTAAATCTATCAACCACGACCATAAGTTATCTAAAACTCGACTCGACGTCCAAATGACTAACTCAGAATAAAAATAAGTGGAATCAATTTCGTGTGTTCATCGAGTCGAACCTAAGATGCATGGTAGAAGTTTGGTCAGCATTTCTTTTCTCGAGTATTCCACGGAATAAGAAAATCACAAGTGCCATAAATTTGCGAGAAATTAGGTCTCTTGGAAATTTATCTTTTCGAAGAGACGAAGTTTTATGGAAGTAATATCTAACAATAGAGAAAAACTATAGTGCCTTTACTATACATGGGAAATCTACCGAAAACATAAACCAAATGGTGTGAAATTCTTTATTATGGCAAGTAAATCCTACATAATTAAAAGAAAAAGCCAAAAAAAAAAAGTAAAGTAAATAAATTTGGGACCATAAATTTGAAATTTATCTTTTGGAAGAAACGAACTTCTATGGAAGTAATATGTAACAAAAAAAAATCTATTGCCTTTAATATACATGTTAAATCTACAAGAAACAAAAACTAGATATAGAAAAACTAAAAAATAATGAAAGTAATTCGAGACCATCACTTTGAATTGCAATTGAATAATTGAGGATGATTTAATCTTTTTGATGAAAACTTGGTAGATTTAGTCATTTTTTTTTATCATGAGGTTTAGAGTGTGAGTGGTTCTAGGTTCCTTATTTTTTGGAACCTGAAACCTACTCGTCGGAATTTGAAACCTAAAATTTATCATGTCACAGGTTCCAGGGTCTAATAAGTTTTTTTATTTATTTATTTATTTCATTTCGCCAAAGAGAATATAAAAGATTAGTTTTTCTAGTATTACGATTCAAATAAATATTATTAAAATGAGGAGTAATTGTGTGAATCGATACTATGAGCAAGCGGTTCCATGTTTCGTATAAGTTCCATTCATGATAATAAGTTCCTCATTTATGGAACTTGGAACCTATCCTATCACAAGTTCAAG